ACTTATCCCCCACACCTATAGATATAATTCTTTACTAGCCTTTTATGTTGCACCTTGTCAAATACTTTCTGAAATTTCAAATGCACCAAATCTACACCCTTACCCTCATCTATATAAGCAGTAACCTTTTCAAAAAATGTCAAAAGATTTGTAAGGCAAGATTTTCCCTTAGTGAAACCATGTTGACTATCCAATAAAATTCTAATAATTTCAAAAATTTTCCCACAACTGATGTAAGACTGATGGGTCTATAATTACTGGGACAATTTTTAATACCTCCCTTGAAAAGGGGAGTTACATTAGCTAAGTTCCAATCCTCTGGTACCTGCCCACTATTCAAGGACTGACAATAAAATAGTAGTAAGTGGCTCAAATATCTAATCTTTAACCTCCATCAAAACCCATATGGAAATATTAGCTGGCTCAGGAGCCTTATCGTTTTTAAAACTTCCCAATTTTCTGTTAACCAACTCAGAATTAAAGCAAACATCTTGTTTGATCTCGTTTCCATTTATCAATTGTTCAAGATGTGGAATATTGCTTAAATCTTAAGCAAAGTTTAATACCCAACCATCTCATAATCATCGGATACTAGTCTTCCTTTATCATCACTCAAGGGTCCTACTCCAATTCTAACATTTTGTTTACCCTTAATGTATTTAAAAAAATCTTTCCTGTTAAGTTTTACATTTTCAGCCAACCTTTTCTCATACATCCTTTTTTGAGTCCTAATTTCCTGTTTCATCAACTTTCTTGATTTTCTATAATCTCCTAAATCTCATATTATATCTCCTGTTATATACAGTGCCTTGCAACAGTCTTCACCACCCCCCTGTGCTGGTAATACATTTTAGATATTTTCTTGTGAAAGACATAACTGAGATGGACAAAAATATTTATTATATTAATCTCAGAACAGATTCTAAAGATTAAAAAGAACAAACGGTGCATTGTTACCCAATTTAGTGATATAACACAAAAAATATTGAAAACACATGCTGCAAGAGTCTTCACCCCTTAGCTTTTATCAATGTTCATTTAACTTTACGTCACTACCCTGCTAAAGTAAATACAAGTGTCTCTGTACAACTCTATCACATACCAAAGTATATTATAGAATAGTAGTATAGTATAGTACAGAACAGGCCTAAACAGGCCTACAGAAGGTATGTGAATGACACTTTTATTCTTTTTAATAACAGTGATCCATGCTCAACATTTTTAGAATACCTTAACTCACAACATCCTGCCATTAAATTTACATGTGACGTTGAAAATAATAATAATTACCTTTTTTTTAGACATGCTCATTAACCGTAATGCTAATGGATTTTCCACATCATTTTACCGACAAAAGACGTCCACTGGTCTCCTTACACACTTTGATAGCTTTATCCCGTTTACGTATAAACGAAACCCTGTTACATGCTTACTAAACAGAGCTTACAACCTGTGCTCCACATATATTAATCTACACTCTGATATTTCGTTCTTACATGACATCCTGAAAT